ATAGTTTCGTTACCAACTGGGATGTAAAATCAGGCGTTTTTAAATTAATCCCAAAGTTGGATCACTTTTTAATATAGTAAACATCAGCAACAGGAAACTCAACTTCAGATCATAAAACTGACTGAAAACTAAAATGTTTTTACTTTTGCAAGTATTTTGTTTAGTTTCTTAGAAAAGTTCTTTAATTGAACCACTGTATACAGGCATTCTAGAAAAACTAATATGTGGAATTTCATGACTGGATTATTTTACAATTGGCTTATAATGAAACTGTCATTCTTTATGGAGAGTTGCCTTTTTTGTAGCTCTGACAAAACAAAACTGGCAGACATTTGTATTTCAGAAACTGCTAGTAACTAATAGAACTGTGGTTCTAATTGACTACATTATTTCTGAATAGATGGTACTAACTTTTCTGTAAAGCAGTCTTTACATCTAAATTCCCTGTTAGAGAGTTTAACTTTTTAAAGCAAGTGCATGCTTGAAGAACTAAAGCAATTAAATGCATAAGAGGAATAAGTACTGAACACTTCAATGGAATTTATTGTGTTGCAGATTTTCTGTCCATTCATAATTTTAAGTGTTGATTCCCTAGGTTCTCTTATTTCCTTTAGCAGTTAAGCATAGGCTGCTGAAGCTGTCGAGTATAGGTTAAGGAAAACAGCTGATTATATCACCCTCATTGCTTTGGCTTCTGCAGTCACTAGAGGGTTCATTTGAGCTCTGTCTAATCCAACCTGAGTGGAATCTACATTACCTTAAAAAGCTAAACAGGAATTTTATATCAACCTAACTGACTGCCTAGCACTTAATTCAGCCAAAAGAGCAGAAGTTATGTCCTCTACTTGTAAAATGGTAAGCTTTCCAAAGGGTAATATCTTTAAATCTTAAAATGAAAATCAAAAGAAGATACCAGACTGTCCCCATCAGTCATCATGGATGACTCCATGAGTGGAGATAGAATTTAGAGCTGGGGAAAGACTTAAGAGTAGAAGAACAGAAATTGGGATATTAGTTTAATTTAAATGCTTCTAGTGTAGTTTTACAGTGAGTTTGGATAGCAGAAAATTAAGACTAGAAATACGTGGGTGAAGAAATTAAGAACCAGTGGTATGAAGTTAATTGAGGTGACTTGGGATTGCATCTTTCTGTCTTAAGAAGTACTGCTATACTATAAACTGTTTCCATTTGAATGCATCATTCATTTAAGCAACTATATTTTTGAAAATCTTCTATTTTGAATTTAGGACTTGATAAAATTGAATTTCTTCAGAGGCATGAAAACCAAGAGATCTACCAAAAGGCTTTTGAACTCATAGAACATTATTTTGGTGTTGAAGAAGAGGACTCTAGTATTGCACCTCAGGTGGATGAAAGTCAGCAGCAGTTTGTGTTTCAACAGCAGGAGGCTCCAATGGAGGGGTTCCAGCTCTAAACTACTGAAGTGAATATAAGCATAAAATTTAAACACTTGTATGGTTTGGGTTTTTTTTCTCAGAGGTCTTTTCTTTATGGCCAAAGTTAGAGGAAAAGCTGAATATGTTTTGCAGAAATATATGAAGAAACATCTCATGCACTTTTATATATTGTGTTAGAGACAACTGTTCTCTGTTTAGTATTTGTGTTCTTCATTTTATCTCTTATGTACAGAAAACAACTGTGAGTAATCATGTCTAAAAGCATTAAATGTGATTTAACAAGAACTGTTTAGCTAAGACTTGTTAGGATTTTAGGTAGTGGTTCTGAATTTTTCATGTAGTCTCAAACTTCATATCAGCAATACAGTTACTGACAGTTGAATTTTTGGCAGTAGGCTTGACTTGCCCAGTCTCTATCAAATCTACCTCTTGTATTGAAGCAGAAACATTGCTTCAGAACTAAGGCATGAAATAAAGATGAGCTTGTAAGAAGCTGAATTGGAATGTGAAAAATATTTATTTAAATTGTGAAATTTTTATGCATTACTTACTTTACAACACACTGTTGGAATTTATTTATAAAGTGTATTTAAAGGCATAATAGATATACATATATAATGCTAATTATCTAATATAATATTGAATATATGAAAAAGTTTTTTCTCAATTATGTGGGAAGAGGACTATTTCAGAGGTTTTCAAATTGGAATCAGCAGAGACCTTGCTGGTCATTTGATGTTGGCTCTGTAATGACAGCTGCTAAATGGCATTACAAGTCAGCCACAACTGCAGTACTTTGCAGTGAAAGCAGCCGCTGCAGTTACCACAAGAAAGCTGCAATTAGGAATGACAGAAGGGTGATGTGCATTAATCACCAAGCTGATTTTTCAGCTGTCTTCTGTCAAGATGTGGTAACACCACTTTAGTTTGAGAAACATTGCAATGTTTGCCTTTTAGTACAATAGCTTCTTAAAAGTTTAGACAATAGGTGTTGTTTTTTGACCCAAGTATGCTACTGCCACTTGAATTGTTCCTTAGGTTAATGAATTTGGTTTCCTTTTGGTAAGACAATAGAAATACTGCAGTGAAAAATGAATAGTGAATCGCTCCAGTTGAAGGAAAAGTTTGTTGTACTGTAAATAGCATTAAGTATGTGGACACCAAAACTAACTAGAAGTTATTGTCATCTAAATATTTAGGCTCTACTCTATACAGTGTTTGCTGTTAAACACTAAAAGAAATAGAATTCTAATATTTACATTAACAGTTGAGTACAGAAAAATGTATGCTCTGCTTTGACTTGCATATAAGTAGTGTTTCTGGTGTAATAGTAGTATATCTCATTTGGAGAAATTAATACTTTGGGTTAACTCTGAAGTATTGCTATTTTTTATTACCTGTAATTAATGTATTAACATCAAACTCCTGGGTTAAGTGAAATCTGTGACATATGAGAGCATTTCATGCTTCATGAAAAGCTGCAGTTCAAACTTCAAATCACTTACCCATGGCACTGTGCTTGTCACTAAATAATATTTTAATGCACTGAAAAATACAGGTTAAAGGTGGTATCATTTACAGTACCATTTTATATTTAGAATTTTTTTTACATGCAAGTTAAGATTCTAAGATGTTTCACTTGGATGTTACAGCAATATATTCTATATTGTAATTGAATGTGGGACTTGAAGTGGATTTTCTAAATTAATGGTCAGTTTTGACTAAGATATAACTGGGAGGGAAGCAAACTCCCTTTGAAGTCTTTTTAGTGGAAGATAGAGGTGTAAGAAGTGTATATAGGAGTGCTGTTACTTTATGAACTCTGAATAATGAGATATTTTAGCAAATGACACTTTAAACCTAGATTTGTACAGCATACAACAGTTTTGAATAGTGTAATAATATTGAGTACAGCTGCCAAATTTTCATAAAATGTTAGGTGATTGTACTTACGCCCTTTTTACTCTATTAGTTTTAGGCTTTCATATACCAACCTTCATTCTCTCCCATGGTCTCTCCACTCCCCATCAAAGAACAGGGTGTAACAATCGTGGAAATCTACCAAGATTACAAGCAAATGCTGAATTTCAGTGTTCTAGTGTAAGAAAATTATTCAGGTAACAGGGTATTCCTTTGTTTCTAACAACCTTGTTTTGATAATAACCAGCCGTGCCTGCTTTTTATTTGGAGAACCCTGTAAAACTACATTTATATGCCTCTCTTATTTAAACCAAATCTGAACTATGAAAATCTTAATTGAAAGACTTGGAAAATGAAGAAAAGAGGGAACATCTAAAGTATTACATTTGTTTTGAAAGAATGTCTTCAGTTGTGTGGATATATTATTCTATCTTGTGGATGGTTAGTGACTGCACTTTATGCATTTAGACAAACTATTTCATGCCTCTGATATGTTTAAATGGAACAGTTAGAAAGGGAACTAAAATTGATGGAGTTAGGATAATGAAAATCCTTCTTTAAATTCAACATTTGGTTTACCCTGATATTGTTAAAAAATAACAACGAACATTCTTTAAAGGATATACATACAGGATGGTCTCTCCTATTTTATCACTGAGTTTATGTCATGCTTTGTTAAAAGCACGTAAACGAACAAAATAAAACCAGAGATTATGACTTAAGGTCAGTTCCAGTGTACTCGTTTGCAGGTAGGGCTATGATTATGATGATATTACTTAAATAGATGAAGCCAGTATGGTGCGAGAAACAAAACTGTGATACGAAAATCTCTGTAAGTTTGGTGTTTTATATGCAATTTGAAGTGCCCCATTAGTTACAAAGTCTGTTTAAAAATACAGGGGTTTGGGTTTAATTAAAAGGGTACCATTTGTTCTGCTTAAATGTGAAAACTAACTAGCTAATCTATGCAACTATGCAGAGCATAAGATTTTTTTTATTAGTTCCCTTCTCTTGTTACACTGAATCATATCTAATTTTTTTGTCATTGCACTTTTGTCTTAGGACTGGTTCATACAGCTTTTTAATTTTCTAGTATTTGCTTTACACACCGTTGCTAGCAGCAATCAGAAAATAGTAATAATGTTGGCACAGAAATGTTTGCTGTAGAACAAGTTTGCAACTGGAAACTATTTAGTGTTGGGCCTGTCTTTAAAAAAGTAGTAAAGATGCACTATTGTCTTTCCTCCATGGTTAATTCTCAGTAGGTTTATATTTATAATCGTACAACTGAGGATTTTTGTAATAGGTCTGCAAATTGATACATTGACTTAAGCTGTGACCTCAAGATTTCACTGAAATCTGGAATGAAAAATTCTAGTTACTTATGGCACAATGTCTTCATATAATGCTTGGAAACTAAATTACCCATATTAACTTCAGATAGTAATAGTGCATCTTTAAATCCAGGCCAAAGGTCCATTACTGTAACAGAACACATATAAGTAGTATGCAATATTATGGAATGTTAAATCTCCAAATACCATACAGAAACCAATAAAACCTATTTTACAGATGTTTGCTGTATTTATTTAGTGATCTAATAAGTGTTGCTGCTTAAAACTAAAAAATGCAAATACCATTTTGAATACAGCATTGATGCCAATGAATTCCAAGTGGCAGTTTGTTCACTGAATAACTGCACTGTCACCAGACAGAAAACTTCGTGGGTTTAAATACTTTGTGGTTATCTAACCAAAGGTAACTGGCATTCTTAGGAAACTACCTCATCTCCTATAAGATGAATTACTGCTTTTAATCATATGCAAAATATTCTAAATAGTTTTAATTATATGCAACAAGTATCCTGAATATCTTCCTAATGAAAGAGACCTTCCCTTTCTTTTTGTAGTGCCGTAGCTGCCCTTACTGGCTCCAGGGTGTGGGTACTATAGTTGTTCATGTAGGGGTGAAACTCACTAGTTGCTCTCAGCAGCAGTTAATTTTGCTCTTCCGGGGACCTTCAGCATTTCAGGCGAAGTTACTTTGTCTTTGCCTCTGCAGCCAGTGCAGCCTCCTCCCGCCACTTGGCCTTCTTTGCCAAATTTAAGCTTGTCAAGGACTCGTGACGTGCAGCAGCCTGAGGAGGTAACAATGTAGGAGTAAGGATGCACCCAGGGAAAGCTACCCAACCTCAGGAATGGGCAACAGCCACTTGGGGTGGCGGGGTTGACAGAGACTCAATCAGCTAAAACTTGGACAGCCGTAAGCTGCCACTCTTGGTTTAGATTTGTGTGCTTTTCACAGAATTCCATTGTTTTAAAGTATGCTACACAGTCATGCTCACCTTCTTAGCTGAAGCAATCACCGCAAAACAGGCAATAATTGAGAGCCCAATCATGATGTAACAGGCTTTCACTCGAGCTTTGTTTCTTGCCTTGTCTAGCATCTCTGGCCTGCAATTAAAGTAGTTCAATTGAGTCATTAAAAAAGGCAAAGTAGCTCTTCAAAGCATTGCAGACATAACATCACAATTTAAAAATAAATACAGAATTAGCTTCTGAAACAAACATCTTCAGCTTGCTGCGGTTAGTTATGTATCAGCCATCTTCTGATCCTAATCCATTTCCCATGGCAAAGCAAGATTTAGTGGATTTAGACTGTTTTGGAGTTTTTTAAACGGGGGAAAATTGCTCAGGCAGTAAATGTTTGCATTTCAATGCTTGGGGTAAATACACCAGAAATCATACCTTAAACTCTAAACAAAGTGAAGATTAAGTGGGGTTATCTGTTTAAAACAGATGGAGGCGTATATGTGGTGTCAGATGGAGTTCTCTTTATTCAAAGTTAACTTTAGAAATCAATTACTGCTCTATCTAACATGTTCAGATGGTGTTCTGTAGGCTAAGGACTTTACATCCTTGGATTTTTGATTAAAGCAGAGTTCGCACTACTACAAGTTAAAGGTTTTAGTTCTTTATTAAAGCAGCAGCGTGACAAAGTGGGCACTATTTCAGGAACACACACCTAAACAAGATCAATCTACGGGGTTGTTTTTGCTGGTCATCAAAGGCAAAAGTAGTGAACACTGTTGTCCTCTGGCAGTAGTCAGTGCAAAGGAGGCATTTTACAACCCAGCAATCTGCTTTGGTACAGCTCCCATTTCCACCCTCCTCTTCTGAGCCAGCAGTGTCGCCCTGGGAACCAGTAGTACAGGAAATAATGAAAATTGTCCCTAAACATTCAGCTAAGTTTTTCAAAGTCAAGCATTATACTGGGGAGTACAGTTTTTAAGATGTTCATAATACTGGCTATGCACCATTTTCCTTTCATAGTTCATCATGGGAATATTTTATATAGATATTTGTATGTTATAAGTACATGTTTTATACATATGTATAAACCCACAACTATATGTGTAAAAAGAATAGCTGCATAAAGAATTTATTTTGTGTTCTAAGTAAACATGGTGCAATGCTCTCTTTCCTTCAAAAACCTTTAGATTTACTTTAAAGAGTACCGTGGTTGGACGGGGCAGAGCTGGGGATTTGACAGTGCCCATGAAAGCCTGCACCAAAGCTGAGGGCTGCAGTGCTTTGCTCTAAGGTTCAGCGTGGTGGAAGAGGACAGGTCCCATGAGTGGCAGTGCTGTTCCATCCCTTCCTTGCCGGTGCACAGAGGAGGAGCATGTTGTGCACACTCTGTTTCTTGCAGGTGACTAACAATGCCTGCAGTTCTAAGGAACTGCTTCTGGTTTGTACAATGATAAAAATCATCTTCAAAACAAACGGCACATCAGACAGGCACGTAGGATCATTAATCCAATAATCCATTTGTGGCAACAAAAGCAAAACCGTAAATGTTATTAGTCTGATGTATTAGCCTAATTATATTTCACAGTGCACTAATTGAAACTCCTCTGAGGCAGATTTTCACTTTCTCCCTGCTTTCTGCATCTGCTTTAAGGAAAACAGGCCTTACAATGTTCTTCCCTAATTGCATATTGGGGCCTTTGCTGTTCAATCCTTAATCAAGACTCCAGGTATACCTCTGCTGAAGTCAGCAACAGCTGGGGCTTTTTTTAAAAAAAAAAAAAATAAAAGAAACCACAACCTTGAATAAAGCCTGCAGATTTGTTTCATAGTACAAACTATCTTCAGCAGTTGGTTGTGTTCACAGGTAGCAACACCTTGCAATTATTTTCTTGGCAAGAGTTAAAACAGTGCAACACTTCAGTATACAGTTCACTTCTAGTATATTACTGTTTATAGTATAGCATAGTCTTACAGTTCTAAAAACACTTTGCTCACCCAGAAAGCACAGTGGTGACATTCACCTGCCAGGCCAGAAAGGAGTGATTTTTGTGCATGTGTCTGTATGACTGGCAAACACCACACCTTTACAAACATCTCCCGATGACTTGAACAGCATTTACAGCTCCTGAGACATGTCTGAGCCTTCCTCTAGAGGAAGATGGTGAAACTAACAGCACAAGAGAGGTTAGACTGTCCAGAAAGCCACTGTCCCGCTCAGCAAACTCCAGTGAAACTGTCAGGAATCAGCAAGAATAGGCAGAGGATGTACCTGTTGCTTTACACAGCTCTGATACTGTTTATTCTCAACATGTCATCCAAGGTAGAGACATACTGTGATGATAAAAAGTAGTGTCCTAGAGAGATGTCTGAAGTGCTATATAGCATGTAAGAAAAGGGAGCCTTTAACATTAGAGGAGTTTCAGGTGTTTAGTGCCTGACTCCCTTATAGGTTGCTAATTTTCAGCAAGTCAGAGAACTGTAGTGTGTGTGGTTTGGGTGGGAAGGGACCTTAAAAATCATGTAGTCCAGTGGGTCAGCAAGAATAGGAGAGACTCAGGATATGTCAAGTACTCAGTTTTCCTTGATGAGTGATTCTCCTCTCATTACCTCCTTCCCTATTTTTCCTCCAATTCTATAATAAAAAATAATTTGCTGTATGTAATTATTCAGTGACAGCTCCCTTAGAACAGTCTATACAAGCTATAAACAGAAAATATTGTTTACCAGTAAAAAACAAACAAGCCAGTACATAAATGTAACCAAGGCTGTCCACTCAGATGGATCCAGTTCTTAATCCCAGGCTCTAGGGACTCCAGCAAGGAACATTTTCTCATCTTAACCTCTGACCAGGACAGGAAATTCTCTTGCCCTCTAGTTTGTTTCCAAGTCTCAGGGTTGTAAAACGAAAAGCTTTAAATTTTCCACTGGATCAGGATCACACCACTGCTTTCCCTTCAGTTCCATGTTACCCTTGGACAAGGCCAGTGCACTTACGGGATCCTCAGAGGAATCTCTTCTTCTGTCTTGAAACGTCCAGTCCAGAGAAGGATTTTTTTGTCAAACTTCGAAGGTTTGTAACTTGCGACCACCCTGTGAGCCTGCTCAGCTTAAAGAGCAGGGAGAAAAAACACACATTGTAAACCATGCACTAAGAGAGAATTATGGGTTACCGATAGTAAAGTGTTCAAGGGAAAAACCCTACCCATTTTGGTAGGAAGAGTAATTTAGGGATTAGACCTCCAAGTCTCGGCTACGCAGAGTCACCTCCGCGCCGTCTCTGGATTGTCCCCGCACGCAGCGAGTGTTTTTGTGCGTCTGATTCGACCTCCCCGCCGCCCGGGGTGCGGGTACCCAAGCGAGCAGGAGAACTCTCGGGACCACCCGAGCTGCGGTGCCACCGGCGGGCCGCCCCCACCGGGCAACCCGGCCCCGCTCCGCCCCGGCCCCGAGCCGCCCGCCCGCGCATCTCCCCGCCAGCCCCGGGACGCCGCCGCGGGGCCGATCCCGGCGCCTCCGCTTTCCCCCGGCGTGGCGGGCAGCCCCTTACCGCGGGTGGTGCCCGGGCTCCGGGCGGGATCCCCGGCGGCAGAGGCTCCCCGCGGCGCGGGCGGGCGGAGCGGAGGGGCGGACAGCAGCCGCCCCGGGCGGAGGCGCGCCCGCAGCATGCCGAGGATGGCGGGGAGCGGTGGGACCCTCTGCCTCGGCCGGAGCCTCTGCCTGTGCCTTGGCCGGAGCCTCTGCGTGGCCGGAGCCTCTGCCTCGTCCGGACGCTCTGCCGCAGCCGGAGCGACCCCGGCCCCGCCCGGCCCTGCCCCGCCCCATCCCGCCCCGCGAACCCTTCCAGCCGCACCCGGGGGAGAAGCGAGGAGAACCGGGACGGCAGCCGACACCCGGCCTGGATCGGTCTTCTGGAGAAGGCATCCTGTTCCCCTACCGCACTCACGGATTGCAACTCGAGTGAGGAAAGGTCAGCGTCCAAGAAAAAACGGCTAAAGAAACAGACACGGTAGTTCAGCTTCATGTTAGGACGTGCACCTGCTGGAGCGAGTCCTGAGGAGGGTCACAAAAACGACCAGAACACCTCTCCCGTGAAGACAGGCTGGGAGAGCTGGGGTTGTTCAGCCTGGAGACCTTACAGCACCTTCCAGTGCTTAAAGGGAGACCACAAGAAAGATGGAGAAGGGCTTTTTGCAGGGACATGCAGTGATTCCTATACTCCCATTACAAGGAGTAATGTCTCTAAACTGAATGAGGATGGGTTTAGATTAGGAAGGCATTCTTTCCTGTGAGTTTGGTGAGGCACTGCCACAAAGTTGCTCAGAGTAGTTGTGGATGCCACATCCCTGGAGGGTTGGATGGGACTTTGAGCAACCTGGTCCAGTGGAAGGAGTTTCTGCCCATGGCAACTAGGTGATCTTTGAGGTTCCTTCCAAACCATTTCACAGTTCTATGTAGAGTATAAATTCTGAGACACAAACCTGCCCACATCTGTGTTGCTGTCATTTTACTGCTTTCAGAATGCTCAAATATACTGATTCTCATCACAGGCTTTTCCATCTACTTCAACTGAAAAGCTTATTTTTTTTTGTTGTTTTTCCTTTCATATCCTGGACAGAGTTTTATTTAAAAACAAACAAACAAACAAAAAACCCCAAAAAACAAAGAAAGAAAAAAAAAACAATCCTGAAAAAAATATTCAGAGAAATCAGCACAGAGTAGATGTTTACTAAATAACAGCCTGTGTCAGCATGATATTCACAACAGTGTAAGACTGCCTCAACAGAACTCCATCTGATGCATCAAGCAGTGGAAGATTTTACGTGCATCAGCCAAACAGAGCCAGAATGGCTGCAGATGAACAGAGGAAGTCCCACTCCCCAGGGATGGATCACTGTCTGGCAACAGCTTAAGTCCTGTGCTCAGTGTGACAGCACAAAAAAAGTTTTGAGTGATTTGTAACCTCCAGCTATTTTTTCTTCAGGAGCAGAGCATATAATAAAAAGGAAGAGATGCACCTCCTTGCATGCACACACACTCCTTGAGCAGCTATGCCCTCTTTCAGAGTGTTGTCAAGGAGATGAAGACACATCAACAGAAATGAGGACAATACTTTACCTTTGCTCAGAGAGAGTGGCATAGTGTCAAGCAAGGCTCCTTGTCCCTGAAGACACAGCTGAAAAGGGTAGGAAGAGTCAGCACATCTGGGCTGGGCTCAGTGTCCTTCATTATGAGCAGCATCCCAGACACTGCTATTAGTTGCCCGTCCTGATGGTCACTCACACATTTAGAGTGACTGTAGTTCCAATGGCTGTCAGCAGAGCTGCTGGGAGGAAGCCTGGAGCTCATGTAGTTCACAGCACTCGCCAAAGAACTGCTTCCAAGACTGGGCAGCTGAAAGGCATCTACACAGCCAGAGTTACTGAAATCTCGGAGGGAATTATGCTCTGCAGAAGACATCAAACCCTTGGTGGCCTTCATGGTCTTCATTCTGCCTGAAGATACGTTGTATGATAGTGGCTTCAGAATGCATCATTCAGGATTATTAACAATGGATGACATAAGCCCTAAAAAGGTTAAATAATGTTTACATCCAGAGCAGCCTCCTAGTGACCTTGACAAGCAGCATTTTCCCATTCGATTTCTCTGTGAACAGTGCTGTATTTGGAGACATTTATTCTCTCTGTTGCCCTCGGAGATGGAAAACGTGCCTGTGGGATGTTAGTGTTTTGAGAAGTGGTTTCAGGATCTTTCCAAAGTAAGCAAGCAGAGGGCCAGAAAAAAGTGCTGATTCCTTTGGTCTCACATGGCCTGACCTATGGGCCATGGCTCTGGGAGCAGCAGGATAAGACTTCGCAATGACTCTGGAAGGTGATTCCTGTTCCGTGCTCTGGGGATGAAAATCTGTTTCAGGCTCATATAATGTTCCCATGACTGGCAAGAGGAACAGTTAGATTGCTGGAATACTTACTGCCCTGGGCCGGAGAATGTGCACAAATGATCCTTTAGCATAATAAACTCCTATTTTGAGCTTTCTTGTATCCTCTGTGTAGGGAAGCACAAACCCTTTATGTTCTTCCTATATGTGATCACTTGCTTCTTGCAGACAAGGCATTTAAAAACATGTAGTACATCTTGATATAATGTCTCTTTTTTGCTGCCAAGTCAAGCTTGCAAACCTGTTACATCCTCTCTGCTCCACCATGGACTGTGCTTTGCACAGAAGACCTGAGTAGCTGGAGAATTAGAAGGAGCATGTAGGGCTCCTTTGAAATTCTGCCATATGTAATGTCTTTCCTCAGAGATACTTTGGTAGAGACCTTCATACTGCTGTCACCAGGCCCTGTTCATCAAGACATTCTCCTCATTGTCCTGCAGGATGAATCCCCTACAGCTTTCAATCTAAAGGATGTTTTTAAGCAGGCTGAGGTCTACAGTGGAAACACCTTACAGGTGTATGTTGTCCAAGGCCAAACATAAGCTCATGGAGACAGGTAAGGAAATTAAGTGAACCAACTCAAATTTAAATATCAATATGGCTTTAATCATTCCCTTTCATATAGCTTCAAGGCATGCTACACTCAACACTTTTGAAAACAATAAACACAGGTACAACATTCCAGCCAAATTCACTTTTCTAACCAGCTGATTGCTGACAGTTGTGCAAGTAATGTAAAGCTTTGCTTCTCTCTTTTAGGGGAAGACTTCTTGCTGCATTGGCAGTCAAATTGCAGGCATTTTAACTTATCATGCATAATTTCATATGCAGAAAGGTATTTGCCACAACTGAAGTATAAACAGCATTCCACATATAAATATATACATATAACCCTTCATTCCTACAATCAGCAGCATAACATATGTATTTACACAAATGTATATGTGAATTGCACTCTTGCCTTTCAAATTACTTTAAAATACCTTCATAGATACACAATATCAAGGATTTTAATATTACCTCACAGTAACATGGCACAGAACTTAAAATAGCAAAGTTTCTATGTTCTGGGCTTTATAAATATGGAAAAGTATTTTCCTGTTCCTGTTCCGGTATTGGCAGCATAGCTTTGGTGTTTAAGCTCTGTCTGAAAAAGCTCTGCGGTACCATTACCCTGACAGAAAAATTCCTCCTTCTCTGAATGTGCCCTTTGCCTCTCACACAGAAGGCACAGCACAGCTGTGCTCATGGAACTACAGAGCAGAGACTCATCCAGTGCAGATCATGTCATCCTTGTGCTCTTTCTGTGTATCATAATAATGCATTGTCATGTTCTCATTGAAAATCACATTTTTTAAAAATATATATAAACCCCTTAAATTTTCCAGGATGCACTCATGCTGGTACTGACTCATGCTGGTCATTACATTATTTATGCTAATGAGAGGAATCAATTAGTGGTTTTAAGTTTTGCCATTACACATTGACTTCAGACTCTCAAATAAAAGGACACCTGGGGCTCGTTCTCCTCATATATCAGAGGAGGTGAATGAGGTGAATCACTGTGTTTCTTCTGAGTATGGGGAAAAAAGGCAAATGAACATATGTATAACTACAGGGCTCCAGAATTCTGTAATTTCTTTATAGAACTGTCTCTAGTTCATTACCATGCTGGTAAACACAAGGGACCTTAAATGTTACTACAACACTCATCTGGAATAAGATGTGCAATTTTGGGAGGAAAACAAAAAGATTCACTGATACCAGATGAAAAGAGTTACTTTTGGAAGTTCAGAAGAATGGAAAGCCTATCTTCAAAGTGGAGACTAAAGGACTGGACGTGTTTATCTTGGCAAACAAAGCCTGGGACAAGGTTCTCTTTGATCTGTAAAATGGGGCCAGATGAGAAGAAGAGCTCCTTAAACAAATGAGCATCGAAGAGGCAAAATAAGTGGGAAAGCTCATGTGGTGCCACTTATATGACTGTGAGAAATAAAAATTTTGTGATGCTTCTGCCTCTCTTGAGGAAGGGAGGTTGCAGAATAGGTTCCCACAGGTCTATGTGGGCTGGATGGGGAAGGAAGGGAGCTGCTGAAGAGGACTACACATCAGGGAGTTTGCAGGAGCAAGGGATGGACTCTGTGAGTCAGGAATGCCTTTCAGATCTGGTAATGGATAACCACCTAAGTACAGGAAAAGGTGTTTCACGTGGCCTGCCCTTCTTGGGGATATCAAAAGGAAAGAGATCTGAAAGAGAAATGGCTCCCTAAAATGGCTTTTTAACTCCCAGTGCTTAACACTGGCCAGTCATATGCTGGAGACTCTTTTTCTGACCATACTCCTTGTAGCACTTTTAGGAAGAACTTTGCCTTTTATTAGTGGCTGCCTAGGCACTGGGAAATGGCAGTTTCCATTCACAGAGTCATTCTCAGTTTTACATGGCTCTGTGATAGTAGCTTGCAGGCTGGAAGATTTTGAATCTAAAGAAACCTGGCTAACAGCAACGCTGCCTGCACTCTTAGAGGAGTAAGTGTAAACCATTTTGAGAAAGGCAGATTTTGTGTTTGTCTCTTGCTTGTAAATGATGATATAGCATTTTGGAAGAAAAGTGCAGCAGAGGATTCCATAGTTAGATATTAAAACAACGATGATTTCCACTGCTGGCAAGTATTTACCAAATGTAGTTGCGTAGACAGGGATAAATACGATCCATGCTATAAAGTAAATTAGCATGCCAAAAGTGATGAATTTAGCTTCATTGTAATTCTCTGGCAACTTCCTACCTTTAAAGGCAAATATGAAGCAAATAAATGCTAGGGCAGCGATGTAGCCCAACATGATCCCAAAAGCTACAATGGACCCCTCATTGCATTCCAGTATTATTGCTCTTGGGATTGAGAAATTTTGATTTACAAAAGGTGTGTTAAATATTAGCCAGAAGGTGCAAATGATAACTTGAATTCCAGTGCAGGTGACCACAGTGGGAATAGGTTTATACATGCATTTCAGGAAATTTTGAAGCTTGGGATCAAAGCTGAAAGCTAATAAAATTTTTAGTGACTTTATTAAAATACATGAAATGCAGAGTGTAAAACTTATGCCAAAGAGTGCTTGCCTAGTTTTACATTTGAATTCTGTGGGTACATCTATGAAGAAGACAGTGCTTAAAAAAATTAAGAAGTGGCTGAAGAGAATAATATAGCAGACAGTCAGACCACCAGATGCCTTTACGACTGGTGTGTCCAAGTTTTTGGTAAATATTACACAAACGGACAAAACCAACACAACCCCAAAAGCAGAGAGGAGGAGGAGGAAGATAGCAAACCAGTCAGTCCAGGCAAGGAAATAGATTGTCTTTCTGTAGCACGTGGAGCTGTTGATGGGAGCCCAGTAGGTTTTGTTGTTACATCGGTAGCAGTAATCCATGTCTGGAAGCAGAAAAAAAGGAAGATGTCTTAGAACCCCGAAGTTAATAAACTGCAAAGAGGATTGTAGGGACTTGAGATAAAGGAGCAAAGTGGGAAGGGATGCTAAAGGGAAAAGATGGGTCTGACTGCTCCTGATTGCGGCCGTCGCTGTCCAGGGGGAGGAGCTGCAGGGCTGCGGCGGCAGTGGCACAAGGAGCTAAGGACAAGTGCCTGGAGCTCCCTGGCAGCTGGGAGCAAGCCTTGCCTGCAGCCAGGGGCAAGGAGGGAAAATGACCAGGGTGCTAAAGCGATCCTGCTCATCACTGACCAGTGAAATGGGGCCGGAGCTCTGGACAGGCAAACTTTAATTGCAACCTGAACAATTAATCTAGAGTAATCAATTCTCTTGCAAAAATTTGAACTATTTTTCTTTAATTTGTCTGCTTTAACAAGAAAACATCCTAAATATTCTTGTTGCAGATGGCTTTTAAAATACAACAGCAAGAACAAACATTGCTTTAGGTTATGATTTGAAAGGTACTTTTGTTTTGCAATTCCTATTCTCTGGTATGGAGAAATTTCACAATTAATTGAATAAGAAGATAAAATTAACTTTTCTTCTGCTCTCAGTATATTAAAAGTACATGCAACCTTAATTTTCTTAATTCCATCTTCTCCATATTTAATTTTCCCCTTTAAAAGATTTTGCTTAAACCAGTGGTAAAGTATACATCAGATTTGATACTAGAAAATATTGCTGTACAGCCATATCAAATTGCACAGTACTCTGAGGAAAGACACAAAATGTGCTGTTAAGCAAAATAAATAACCTTGAATTTCATAGATTCATAGGCTTGTAGAATGGTTTGGGTTGGAAGGGACTTTCAAAGACCATCTAGTCCCATTTCCTGAGCTGGGGTATGGACACCTTTCACTACACCAGGTTGCCCAGAGCTCCGTCCTGCCTGGTCTTGAACACTTCTGAGAATGAGCCAACCACAACAACTTCTCTGGACAACACATTCCAGTGCCTCACCACACAGAAAGTCAAGAAATTTCTCCTTACTGGACTGAATGTACTACAGAAAGATAGGGAGGAAAGGCTCTATTTAATGAGAGTAAATCTCACTGATAAATCAGCCAGAATTTCCATCCTAGCAAAGGGTAATGCTAGTCAGCTGGAAAATCTAATTTTTTTAAACTTGGCCTTTTAAGAAGCATTTATACCAAGTTTTACAGGAAACTGATCATAGAAAAATATTTAAATCCCATTCCAAAATTTAACCCAAGGTTCTCAAGGCACATTATATCCAAGCAAAACAATTGCATTGATGTATAAATAAACCTTTATTTGGATACAAATTTTTTACCTGTTTGGTTGCTGTAATGGTTTTCTGGGCAGTAAATACACTCATAGCAGCATGTGTGTGGACTTTCTGTAACCTTTTTTACCTGGCCTGGCCTGCAGTGCTGGGAACATGTTGACTGAACCTTCTGCAGTGTGCAGAGGGGGAAAAAGAAAAGAGATCATCATCTCAGGTACAGCTAATTACAAGAGAGCATTAATATAAACCTCCAGGATTTTTGAAATTTGTATTTCTTTTCATATCATACATATTTTAAGGAAATCTGAAAATTATGTTGAAAAAGAGACTTTGTAGAGTCAAATTTCTTGTATTTCCTCAACACAGTCAATGAGTAATAGAATGGGGCATTATTTACCTGATAATTTTATTTTTGGGCCCTGAATGTTAATCCCCGGATTTGTGTGTACCTTTAAAATCTAGATCAAAGTCTTTCATTCAGCTTTGAACCTGTGTTTACTGGGGATCATCTTCAAAGAACACACAGAAGCATCTGATGGGGAATTTGAGTGAGCTGCTTCACAAATGAGATCCTGATACTCTCATACTTTCAGCTGCTCAGAGCCCAGGAGGGACACCTTGGCCTGAAGAAGACAATTCAGAGGGTGCTCTGTACTGCAGCTCTGGCACTCCTGACCCTTGCCAGCTTATCCCTGAGTCATGAAGCCCCACTCCTGAGTGTGTGATCAGGGCCTTCTCTTGAGGTCTCACTTCAGGTCTTCCTTCCGAAGACTATTTTTTGTCAAATGATCTGTCCTGAGGCACATTGCAATCTCCTCTCCTTTCAAGATGGTCTTTACAACGAGGTGGAGACATTTCCTTGCACCACAAAGGGGCACAAAGTTTGAAGTTTCCTTTTGTCCTCAGCTAAGTTCACATGTGGAGAATTCAGCCCACCTAGTAAGCAGCCTCTCCCTGTCCCATTAGTGGAGAATGCCTTGCAACTCAGACCTCCACCCATGCACAGAGCACAGATTGTCCAGCTGGAACTGGCCAGGGCCACCCACTAGTCCTGTCTACACCAGTGCTGGGGCTCCAGGTGGCACCACCTACTCATGTTGCTGACCCCCTGCACTAACAGGAGCAAATAAACACCAAAACCTTTTTTTGTTTGTTTTTTTTGTTTGTTTGTTTTTTGTTTTTTTTAAAACAATAAAGTCAACACATCTGAACCTGCATTTAGAAAAAAAAAAAAGGCAGTACATAAGTGAGGGCTTTTTTACACACTATCATTTTTTTATTTTAAAATCCCTTTGTAAGCTTCTGGAATAGCATCCTTAGGATAGACATAACCTTCTAGGGGCATTCTGGAGAAATAAATAAATTTTGTATCATTGAGCCTATTCACAGGCTAACATGCATCTCAGGGTGTATGAAAAGGGTTGAATAAACTCAGAAAGGATTCTTTGCTCTAAGAGGAAAACATTAAACCACACAAGAGATTTCTAGCTGACACATGATTCAGTTGCAAGTGCTGCAGGGAGAAAAAAATTATCTGAAACAAATTTCACACGTTATGTCAGCAAATCAAAAGTTACCTTCAAAGCCAGAAAATCTTTTTTTTTCTCTTCATCCTCAAAGATAAAGCCACCTTTCTCTGCATCATATTCTGCCATAGTGATGATTTCCATGTGGCCATCAATTTCTTTCCAAAGAAGGACATCATAGCTGGTGCTCATATCTCCATTGGAGTCAAACTTGACTTCCTTATCATCATCAATGACGATAACTTTTTTAAGTTCTTCAAGGAGCTGCACACAAGCGTAAGGAGTGATAACATACAGTACCAGTATCATGTCAGTGTGACAAACTGAGCAGTTTAACATATGATAATTTGATTTGATAACATCAAGTTAAAATGAAATGCTTTTAGAAGTAAGAGAAAAATTAAAATTAAAATTAATTTTGTTTACAGAATTACATTCTATGTGACAACCTTGTTGGCCTTAAAAACCTATTAATAAAAAGAATAATAATATCATAAAATCATAATAATAGGGTTATTTTTTTCCAGCCTTGAAAATTTTGGTGTGATATTCAGTGAGAAAATATTTTTGCATGCAAAAACTAAGAAACTTTTGGTACTCCCCTTCTTGTAGAGAACAGTGGTGGACAGTGCGCCCATTGTTACTTTACAGTCAGCAGAATCAATCTGGGCAACATTTGCTTCCAGAGTAAATTCCCTTAGCATGTCTGGAAGTTTCTAGCACTGTTCCCAGATGTGACTCTGGCTGAAATTGTGTATGGCAAGGTGAGATTCAGAACTGTAAATAATCAAAGAACAATATATGCCAATTTGCTCAGATGACGAGATCAATGGCACAATGGCAACAATAAACAGCAAGGCTGTATTTGATAGGTCACAGGAAATACCAAACCAAATATGTTTTCTTAAGGCCACTGCCCAGCTTCATATTGCAATCCATTCTGTTCAACAGGGGAAAACTTCTGTCTCCCTCATCATAGACAGATCAAACAAGGTCTGTGTGAATCTAGAAAAGGACAGGTTAAGGCACATTATATATATATATCCCTACTCCCAGTTCATGGGGAGATCATAGGAGTACTCCCATTTGCTGCCATGGTTCTTAATCAAAGCACAAGCTTTATTATTTTGCAGGCCTAGTGATTTTTGGCAACAGTAATTAACTGACAAGAAAAAAGATTCAGTGTTTGGTGAAAGGCTGAGTTCAACTGCATTTGAAAAGCATGCTCTTACATGGGTCTATTTGTGATATTCATAGCATTTAACGCAATTAAATGTGCTGACAGGTATATGACCTCAATAGGCTTTGTCAAATATATGTAACACATCTGGTGTGCATAATATGTCATTTTTTTCATTTTTTAATGTAGTTTATTTGAGTGCTTATATAATTTATGAAGAACTGGTATGTTTCTAACCAATTTGATTGGTGCATTTTATTTGGATGATGCATAGTTGTGTGGAACTGAATAGGGTTTTTTTATTATATATACTCAGACTAGTAATTTAATTCTTCTCTTCTCCACTTTTTCGGTTTGTCTAACATTATGAGAACACCAGAGCTTTTTGAATACATCCTGAGCTTCAGAGAGAAGGGGCTAATATTTAGCAACATTTTGGTGCAACTGGTTACTATTTTTGCAGTCTATAACAACAATCACTCTATTGTTTCCTTGTATATGGAGATGTATGATACGGATTATTTGGATCCCAAGGTTTTCCTGTAGATATATACCTCCCTTCCTAGAGGACTGAATTTTCATGTAGAAGAAACATGTTATAGAAACATCACGGGGGAAATAACTATCTCTTTCAGTTCTCTTCACAAGCACTTAACAACTTAAAAGGACTTTGAATTTGGATGGTTTGGAATTTAGTTAAGTTATTATGTAAATGTAGCTCCATAAATATGCATTCCCACAAAGTAGTCCTGAATTTGTCACATTAGAGTTTATTAATTCATGTAAAAGTCTGTTTGTTACTGGGTTATTGGTTAGTTATTTTTTTTTTTTTCCAAATCCTGTATCTGGGTTTGACCTGCCCTGACCTAGGATAAGAGGTCAGAGCAAATCAGAGTAACAAATCAGAGTTCTTCAGAGGTTGTTTGACTTTTAAATGAACATTTGTTTAATCCTCTGAGTAAAAGTGTGTAAAAGTGAATAGTCCTGAGCAGGTTGTTGGGTAAAAGGTCAGGTCAGGTTTACTTGTCTGATTTTTTCTCTTCTTTACCCACCCAGTAGTGTGATAACAAGTACCTCACCCATCTTAGAGACTGGCTTTATATACGCCAAGATCAGACAGAAGTATAATGTATTACATTTTCAGTTTCAAGTAGAGACTCATTGTAGAGGAAAATACTTGAATTAAGACGAAACAGATACAATGGTGAGAGAAAGAGAGAAAGGAAAATTGAGACTCTTTGGTGATTGCTCCTATCCTGCAGTATCCCCATCTCTCAAGAGATGGTTTGCAGCAATGGTTTGCAGCAATGGGACCAACTACTATTGGTCAAATAGCTGATAAGTCATTTAGTTGTTTAGTAAAAGGACCAAGATTTTATCTCCAGGAACATGAGAGCAAAAATGTGATGAAAGTTAGGCAGAGAGAATGAGACCTGAAAGAACTAGCATCATACCTCCCAGGGAGTAAAGGCAGATGGATCCTTGCAGTCTCTGTCTTTGCATTGCCCTTTAATGGCATGAGCTATAGCATAGACTGCAAGTATAGTACTATGGATAAATCCTGGTTCAACATTAGCATTCAAAAAATCATCTCTCCAGATCTGGGGTTTACTCCCATCATTTTCCAAGAGATCATCCTGGGATTGGTTTGCAATGCATGTTTGAAAATCATGATATTCCAGGTGTGCACAGATTGACAAAAGCATAATATATTCACGTAAAAACTTGTTGTTTTCAGTGGGCTTTTCATGAAGGTTTCTCAGAAACTCTTGGAATGAGGAGACATCTCCACTTTTAAATCCAAATCCCACAACTGTTCCTAGCTGTCTGATATTGGGAATTGTACTGATCTTGACTGCAGCTGACCAGTTATCACTGGCAATCCAGATTTTATTAACATTCCTCTCAATTGCCTTCTTGAATAGTTTGAGCACGTGGAACTGTCTCATAAAGACAACAATAACATTTACTCTTGTTTCCTTGACAATCTTCTCAATTGCATTATCAACTTTGGTGTGAAAGGTGCTGTCAGAGAGATAGGCTGGCAGCATCTCTTTAAAGGCTATGCAAACATTGTTCGCCATGGCCTGGACCCCAAAGCTCTCCAGAGCGAACCGCCCATTGTCATCATCAGTGGCTATTACTCCGATCCAGTTCCACCCAGATTCACAGATCAAACGAGTCATTGCTCTTGTCTGGTGAAAATCACTGGGGATAGTCCTGAAGAAAGAAGGAAACCTGATTTTGTCACTGAGGATTTCAGCTGATGATGCAGGACTGACCTAGGAAGAGCGAACAATTCAGTTATGGATGCGGTCTCCTCCAAAGTAAGCCAAGAGATCCAAAGCTGCCATGATTGCTCTTTCTTCCCACCTGACCTGGGCTCCCTCCTCCTGAGAGTGAGCATCAACCAGTTGCAGCCAAAGCGGGCAGGTTCTCTCTCTCTGCTTTTAGGATGCAGACTTGTGCCCAGTACCAGTTACACTTTTTTTCCCACTCTCTTCCACACAATTCAGTAAAGGCCCAGAGCAAAATCTTTCAAAATGGATATGGCAGAATAGATGGTATAAAAATTTTGGTTTACTCCTTTCAGATACGGTCAACATGTTCTTCAAAACAATATTTAAAATATTGGCTTTTTTTGAGTCTCTAGTCTAATTGCTAGAACTCTTGTAGTATTTTCCCACCACAGAGTGTGTTAGTATGGTTCACATATATATATGTATATTTTCTCCCCAGTATTTAATTATAATATTTCAAAAGCATCACTAAATATGTTGGGAGACTTTCAACAGACAAACAGTAACTGATAATACAAAATGCTATAATTCTTTCATACAAAAGATTTATTATATTTTTTCTTGTGAATGTAGCTAGAAAACATAAAAAGAACATTGTTATTTAAATATCTCCCGTTTTAACCCTTTCTTACTTTTTTGCTGGAACTTTTTTTCTACTGTATTGCTTGACAGTTCTTAAAAAATAAATTTAAGCTTTCCAAAATGAGAGTCACCTCACTGGAGGGGATACCAAAATCTTACTGTGTCAGAACACTGCAGGTGCTATTGATAAGAAAAATCTGTTTGCTCCCATTTTCCATCTATGCCCTACTGCAGATTTTTGTAGTCACTTGTCTTTTGATTATGTTCAAGTGTGGCATTTTAGTTTTCATACTTACTAAAGTTCCTGTGGTGGCGTTGGAGGTCAGAATTACTTCCTACCATTGCAGAGGAGAAGATTCAGTTAGAAGTTATCTTTAGTTCAGATTTTATGTCTTTTCCACTTATTTGGTTAATTTACATCTATTGCCAAAACCAAAAATCTGCAAGATAGGATGGTGTGGCTCTGCTTCTTCCTTGTTAGTCCTGGCCTTGACCCCAATTTTTTTACAAGGGTGACAGTAGGAAGGCAGCACAGGCCTAAGCACAAATGTGGGACTATGCTAGTGCTAGAGAAGTCAGAAATAGAAAAGGATATTTTGGGAAGGACTAGTGTGGATCTGAACTGTTGTATTCCTTCACTTCTACAATTGTTTGAAGAGTACCAGGAGTAAATCTTTGTTTTAGAGCAATCTTCCTCACTTCCCTGTCCATAGTTTTAACTGACTCCAGCACCTAATTTCTCTTGGGCTGCAGAGAATTCCTGAATTTCTGGCCAGATTTCATCTGGTCTCCTTTTTTTTTTCTTTTCTAGCTTGAGACTGAGTGTTGTTATATTCACCACCAGGCAAACTGGACACGGCAGCTGTAACTTTGCTGCCTGAACGAAGTCCTTGAGTGTAATCCAAGGTACACTGGAGTAACCAGGACTGACTAAAGGCATGGCCAGGCTGACAAGAACCCAGGACAACCCTGAAAAAACACTTGGATAAATGTGCCTCGGGTATATGAAATATCCTTTACTGCCTTTCTTTGGGCAAGTGAATCAAGGCTTCCACTTGAAGCCCACCCATTCTGATGTCCTTAGGATAAACCAAATCCTGCCCTGTAGTAAATATGTGGCTTTTGCAATTCCTGGGATCAGAGCCTGTATTCTTAGCATGGTAAATCTGAACCTCTGTCCAAAATAAAATAATTGCCTCAAACCTACCTGTGGGATTAATTGCAAAGCCAGCAGCCTTGACACTGCCATTGATACCTCCGAGTAGCTGGCTCCAGTGACGGCCTTGACTCTCGGGATGTAGTCTGAGTAGTTACACTTGAACTCCACAGCATCCTCAGAAGAATTGAGTTTAGACAGAAATCTCAGAGCAGATGCCATGGCTTTTGTAACTTCTGCACACGTGTCGTAGATTTCATAGCCCAGAGTAACTCCAGATAACAGCGTTGAGTTGTTGATGGTTTCAATAGCGTGTATCATTGCAAGCGTCTGAAGAAAAACTTGGATTTCAAAGCTGGCAGAGAAACATAGGCGGTATTTTTTAGAAAAACTGCTGGAAGCAAGGGTGAAGAAATTCTGTTACAAGCATATCCCTTAGAATTTTACTACTGCTGAGAAGAACTGATGGGTAGTAAGTTTTTTGTGATTTGCTTGGGTTTAGTGTACAAAAGATTAAAAACCATACTTTTTTTTCTCATTTAATGGGAGACTAAGTAAAATAAACACAAAACTTAAAATATACCTGAATAATTTTTTTTTTTCTGGAAAAGAAAAAGGTACTAAAAGTTTAATTTTCATGATACATGAAAATTTGCAAGTGGAATCTTCAGGAAGCTTCTGTCAGACTCAGTGAAGATATTCCAGCTTACTACACCTGCCCAGTAAGTTTTTTAAAAACATATTTATTTTCACCAAAAGCATGAAGCAAAGGAAAGGAAGCACTAAATATTTCAGAATAGAAGAAAATATTTCAAACATCAAGGTTTCTAGTGGTTACATTGGTTTTCTAAAATACTCTTCAGACCTGATGAAGTTAGCCAAGATATTTCCCCTCATCTCCAGTGGATGTTATAACAGGTGATTAAGCAGGCTATTTGATTATCTATGAAGATTGAAATAGGATCAATAATTGAAATATGAAATATTAATATATTAATTAATATATTAATTGAAATACTGAAATTGAAATAGGATCAAAATATCTATGTACAACCAAGATATTTCTTGTAAATACAAATACAACAGACAAAATGCTCATTCCCTTCCTCAGTAAGCTGCAGTATTTTTTATTTTAACTTGGCCATGTTCTGTCATCTTGTTTTAATTTACAGGAAATTTATGTGATGTCCAAGGAATTTTTAGACTAAGCAAAGAAAGAGAACCAGAATTTGTTGACCTTAATATAAGAGTTACATGTACAGTGTCAGTGCTCTCTTCTTTGCAATATGTGTAATTTCCAGTATTACTCACCCAGCACAATTCTGAATTACTGGCTTGATGGGATCTTCTTCTGGATGCAGCATTTCACTGTGAACTGCAAACAATCCTCCAATAATGATGTCCCCTGGAGAACTGGCACCCACGAAGTCGTCAGCATTCTGGCAGGAGACAGCAAAGTCGATGCTGAGCACAAGGCAGGGGATCAAAAAGATAACAAATGCCATGAGTCTGTTTTGCTCGATCACTCCCAGCTCTGAGTCAATCAAGCCGCAGCACCAACAAGGGCTCCTGTGTCATCTGTAAAGAGCAGAAAAGGACAAGGGCTGCACTCAAAAGCTGGTCACACCTCATAAGGTGCTTGTATTTGCCTCACTGGACAAGGCTATTTTATTGAAGGTACTAAAGCAGTGCTGTAACATAAATTGTGAGGGTGCAGGGGTGTGAGAGTGGAGAGGGAGGGAGAAACATAAATGAGTTTAAAAGGAAATGCTGGACATTAAATCTCTTATATTGTGTTCAAAGTTTCTGATACCTTATCTGAAACACGTGGCAAATATTTTGGTATAAATTTGGGCTTGTTTTGAATTCCTTCCAGCTGAGTGCAGTGTGCAAAGAAGTAATCATGTAATATGGTAGTAGCGATACTGCTGTGACAATGTTTTAAGAATCTGGTCCAAAGAATGCTAAAATATAAAAGACTCCCCTGTCACAGTGTGCTTTATATCAGACTCTGGCTCAAAAATCCCAACCCCAAACTACCAAAAGACTGCTTTTCTCTCAAACCCTTTTATGCTTTTAAATCCTTGTATAAAAATTATTTGGATAAGTTAATATTCATGATTCTGAGGCACATGTCCTAGGGACTTCAGTGGGCTTTGGATCAGGTTCCATATTTGCAAACCAGGCCAAGTCTGCTGTGACAAACTCAGAACAGTGGGAAACAATAATAAATTATTCCTAGTTTTTGCTTTCTTCCTCTTCTGACTGAAGGCACCAGCTCATGAACAGAAACTCCTGTGCTGTGGGAGGAATGGGAAGCGGCTGTTCTCACCACCACTGTTCCCCTCAGATCTACAAGAATCAGATGCTGTGCCAGAAGGGAACTCGGGGAAAAGAGAAGCAGAAGCTGGACTCTCAGCTTTCATAAACCCCAACTTAAACATCAAAGTGAACTTCCTTAGGACAGAAACATGACTTATGCTAATAAATACCAGTCTGTGTGAGGGACACAGATCTGACAACAATCCTTCTCTGTTTCTGACATTGGTTTATTTCCTGTTTTCTTTTAATGGCTTATTCAGATTTTTGCTTGTTTTGGCAACATGCCAAAACACTCCCAAAAGAATGGGTTCAGTCATAGCATTTATTGTCTATGATTGTATAAAATCTAGGTTTACCTTGAAAATTTCAACCAAGGTTTATTTACTGGCAAAGAAAATTAGAAATGTAATGTTTGTTATGCATTCCTTTCAATAAGCATAACACATACTGTATAAATTATTCAAATTACTATATTTTACTTGTTTTCGCAATAGTCTCTTTGTAGTAAAATATCTGTTTAGAACCAAGATATTTCTTGTAAATGCAAATCTACAATACAAAATACTTGCATGTATTAAGCTGACAAAATACTTGCAAGTGCAAATGTTAATCCCTGGTTAAGATAACATTTGGGCTCTTAATTTTATTATAAAAGTCTGTGTTTCTTTCATCTGACTTCTTTCCTTCCATGTGAAGGAAATACTAGTATAAAATGTATCATTTAAAGGCTTAACATTAAGTATTGCAATAAGGACTCAATGGAAATACAGTACTGATAATTTTAAACTTCAAATTTGTTATGTTTTATGATTAGAAGCAGAAAAGGAACTCTACTCTGGCCAGTCTTTAAAAACCTACTAATTTTTATAGAAGAGGATTTTACCTACAAATAAAAATATCCTTACTTTATCACTTTGGAAAGTGGAAGTTGACAAAATAAACATCACATATAATTGGTGCATAATTTCATGTTATTTATAAAAACAACATAAAAAGAGGTGTGCTTCCAAGTCAACTAAATGGATTTTATTCCACAGTGTTATTTTCAAAAGAAAGAGGTTTTACTGTTTTTGTTTGTTTTCAAGACCTCTATCTCATAATTACTATTAGAGACGAGAAGTATGTAATAGTCTTACTAAGATAACTCAGCCTAATCTGGTACTGCAGTATTGACTTGAACCATTTGCAAATATCTTTTTTCTTTGGCACTTCGATGAAATAGAAATAATTGTATAGTACAAAGAGTTCCTTGTTTCGAATGTGGTGATATATCATGGATACAATACTGGACTTTCACAGTTGCCAGCATAGGAGTATTTCCTGGCAGGTAGATTCAACCGTAAGAGTCAGGGGAATTTCAGGATGAACAGGACCTAACAATCCCAAAGCCACTGTGAGAGCCATAGATTAATTCTAAGAGGCTTCAGAGGATCTTGTGGGAGACAAAGAGGTCCTGACAGTATCTCTGTGTGCCCCAAAGTTACTTGTTGCCATGACAAAAAGGTTACTTCTTCCACTTGGGCTTTGAGAAGGACCAGAGTTGGTGGGGTGTGGAGGATGGCCCTGTCAAGCCCTCATCATTTATCCTTCAGGTGACCTTCTGTAAATTTACCCCTAGTAAATTTTTGGCAAAGTGTTGAAAGGACCCACAGTTAAAAATGTACAAGAGAAGCTGTGTATGACTTGAACGTGAGACCAACAGAGTGAATCCTCACAGCAGTGAACACCTGGAAATGGACCACCTGCTCCGCCTGTCTTTGCAGCCTCTAAACCTGGACAGCTCTGTCTGCTTTTGTGTAGAAAAAAAGCTTTGTAACTCTAAGTTGCTTTGTCCAGCAAAAAGAGACTACACTTTCCATGAAACAAACAAACAACATTTTGGCTGAACTTCTTTGTCCTAGCTGTTGTTTCTCACAAAGATGATAATGGCTTAGATTCCAACAGGAATATCTTTTCTGTGAAGCCCATCCAGTCAGGTACTCTTAAAGGAGAAAGACACTTTTCAAGACTTTCTATTTTAAACTGGTTTTAACTGTGCTGTTTCCAAATAAACAACCTATAGCAAAATCCTCTGCCAGACATGCACAAAAGCTAAAGGAAGAAAGAAAAAAATTGCATATTCTCACTGTTATTCAAAGGAGTAGGGCAGCCCCCCTTACTCAGACAGGACTTACACTGACACAATGGCAATTGTCCTGTTAGACAAAGCCAGCAACATTCAAATAAAATCCCATCATTTGCATTAAGAAGATTAAATATTGGTTAGGATTGCCTAACCACTGATAACTGATCAAGGTGTCTTGATCAATAGACCATAGTGTTTAACACAATGATTTCTTCCTTATTTCTTTTATTTCTTATTTCTTTTAAGGAAGTTTAAACAATGGGGGAGAAGAAGAAGGAGGTATTTCATTATATAATTTCAAATACCTTTTAAAAATTCTTCTCTTTATTTGAGCCTATATAGATCAATATTAAAAGAATGGGAAGACAAATATCCATTATTTTGATTTGTGGTTTGCTATAAAACAAACAAAGATAAAAATTAAAAATACATCAACAGTGAAATGGAATTTGGATGGAAGCCAACAGCTCACATTAATTCCTGAGAAACAAACTAACTCAATTTTCAAGTTCATTGAGTTTGTCCTCTAGAGGGTGTCAGCTGAGCTGCATGATGGGAAGGACAAATCCTGTATTTCTTTATCAGGTCACAATGTTGTAATGTGTCTCCTGATGTTCCATGAAAGTTAAATTTCCCCTGATGCAAATAACCTTGCACTCATTGGAGTACTTCTGGTGGAAAACTGAGATGCTGGGACATGGCAGTGCTTTCAACCTCCTTCCTGGACTGTCAGGGACATCCTGGGCAGTCTCATAGCAACTTCTTTTACAGAAAGTGTTTTAGTCAATAATCCATGTTGCACATATTCAGTTCACCTCTGCTGTTTATGCTAGAAAAAAGATATAATAATTTAAAACAGAGTTATCAAAGGCCTACATTTGAACTAATGCCTACAATTTTTTTTTTTTTTTTTTTTTTGTTCAGGACAGATATGTTTGTTTCACTTAGCTTTTCTCTGACATTTTAATATACTTAGATTAAATTACAATTTAATGTGTCAAACACAATTTCAACATGAAAAAATCAGGGGATTTGAATTTTCTGATGTTGACAGGGAATATTTTTAGCCATTCCAAAACTGAATTTACTTGTAAAGTACCTGGTTGTTTTTTTTTTTTTAAATAATGCAGCAAGCCTAATCCTATCCCACCTAGCCAAGAGAGTCAGCTACATAGGTTGGATGCAGGACAATTTTTCATAAAAGCGAGCATGGTAGGCATGACCCAGCTTATTGAGACAACATTTTCAGATTTTTTCACCAGGTTTCATTTCTCTCCTTTGTTCCATCTCCTCCTCTTTTAATTGAAAAGCAAGACAGCAAAAATGCTGTTCATCTGTTGACAATGCAAATATTTGGTCCCAGCCTGTAGTGAAAGGGTCACCCAGAGGGAAAGAAAACGTCTAACTTAGGTATTTGGGCTTTCTCCTGAGAGGCTGGAGGTGAGGGGTCCTTCTGCCAGTGATTGCTCTCAAACCTAGACTGATATCTTTGCTACAGAAAAGGAAGGGACTCCAATTTTTCTTCTTCCAGTGTCCAGTACTTACTGGAATGTCATTGACAATTTGTTTAAGAAAGCCCTTTTGCCTGAGCAGTAAGAACCCTAAGAGAAACTCAGAAATTCCTAGGGTTGTATTGCCTAGTGTATCTGGCATGTTTTGGAAATGCCTATCAGCAAGAAAGTTGGGTCGGAGATCATCTCACACAAAAATGCCAATGCCAAGCGAGTATGAAGTTCGTGCCAAGCAACTCTCAGTATTATTAATAAGTAACACAGTTCAAAATAAAATTAGGTTTATAGGAATTTTAAAATGTAAGTGGTTACACTTTTTAGGCATCTCCCAGGGTATTGATTGTGGAGGATCTGAGAGTGTTGGTTTTGAATACAGGCTGTTAAAGGGACAGATAACCACGTAAATTGAGCTAGCCGTCTTGGTGACCTTGTGCTTATTCTCATTAAATCACTTTTGCAAATAACACTTTGTGATTTTTCAGCTCTTGCACTGCTTCTCCCACAAAAGTTCCTTTAAAAATATTGGTATTTTTCTTCAGTCATTTTG